TGCCCGTCCTCTGGGAGGCTGAGGCGGGCGGATTGCTCAAGGTCAGGAGTTTGAAACTAGCCTGAGAAGAGCGAGACCCCGTCTCTACTATAAATGGAAAGAAATTAATTGGCCAACTAATATATATAGATATAAATAAATAGCCAGGCATGGTGGGCATGCCTGTAGTCCCAGCTACTCGGAGCGTGAGGCGGAGGATTGCTTGAGCCCAGGAGTCGAGGTTGCTGTGAGCTAGGCTGACCCCATGGCACTCACTCTAGCCTGGGCAACAAAGTGAGACTCTGCCTCAAAAAAATAAAAAAAAATAAAAAATAAGTAAAAATGAAAATGGTCTCCACTTGGTTGGCAAGTGTATCGCGTGAGTACCTGCATGTGAAAAAGGACGGGGAATGCTAGGGCCAAGCAAAGGAGTTCTGAGTCCAACGAGTCTGATAAGGACTGATGAACAGTCCTGCAGAGCCCTAGCCCTTTTCTGATGTCTGCGCTGGTTTTGTCTCAGCTGTAAAGTGCGTCCCACTATGGCCTGACCGAAGACAGGAAGAGCGCCCGGGAGACGGCTGTGGGATGGCCACTGAGCCTCACGGCCACGCGCTGTCCCGGAGACTCTGCAGCCGCCACCATCTCCCTCATGACGGACGAGCCTGGCCTGGACAACCCCGCTACGTGCCACGGCGAGGACAGCCCGCCGCTCACTGCCTGAATGACTCTGGCCGGAGCAGCCGGGCTCGGGTGAGTCAGACAGGCGGTTGCCCGGGAATGGGCTCCCTGCCTCGGATTGCCCCTGTGGAGTACTTAGCCTGGTGGAAAGTTCTAGAAATGTTTGTCAAGGCGAGATCGTTCTGGTAGTTTTGGCAGCAGCCCAAGGTCCAATCCTCCAAAGTGAAACGAAACCACAAGTACCTCAGCTCGTTAAGACTGTGTATGATCCGAGTTGGCGACAGGGGGTTGGCGCTAGACCCGGTGACTCATCACTCCTGCAGAGCCGGTAACTTCGCGGCCAATACCGCCCGAGAGAAGTGCTGTTCTATTCAGTTCAGCCCAGGGAAGAAAAGAAAAAAATCGGACTTTTTAAACAAGCTACACATATTTCATTGCAGAAAACTTAGAAAATATAGGCAAGCAAATTCTGCATCACGCCACCCAGAGGTGTGACCGCTGTTCACGTTCTATGTATGTCTTATCAGACCTGTACCTAGAAGATGACTTCTGCTAACACGTAGCTACTGTACCCCGTCTCTCTCCTCCCCAGCACGGCCCTTCGAGAGATCCTCGGTCAGAAGCAGATCTTTCAAAAAAATAAATCGCGCTTTGAGCGTTCTTCGAAGGACCAAGAGTGGGAGTGCGGTTGCCAACCAGGCTGACCAGAACAGGGAAAATTCTCACAATCCGGCCACCCCCGAAGGTAAATGAGCCCCGCCACGGGGCCGGGTGTGGGCTGGGCTTACAGGGTGACTGTCCTCAGGGGTGATGACTGCTCAGGGGTGATGACTGTCCTCAGGGGTGATGACCACCACCACCTTCTGAGACCACCCTCTCTCCCCAGGATAGAATATATATATCATAATCTCTCCTTTTAAAACTATAGTCCGGCCCTCCAACGGTCTGAGGGACAGTGAACAGGCCCCTTGTTTAAAAAGTTTGAGGACCCTTGGTATACTTTATAGGGTTATTGTGAGGACTAAACAAAAAACACATCCAAATTGCTTAGTGCAATAACCAATATATAATAAAGTCTCGGTAAATAATGATAATTGTTATATCCTTTAGTTCTTGAGTGAGGACATAATATTGAACAAATTTTTTTCTTTGTAGACCAATACAAGTTTGGCAGTTTAAAAATTGCTTTAATTTCTCAAGGTTACTAGAATTGTATTGGTGTTGCTATAATTAACATCATTTATAGGTGTGAGTGGGTGTATCCATTCCAGTATCAGACATCCTTGAGTGGTTTAGGTTTGGGGGCAGGTTTTGTAAATCTGTTGGGAAAGTTGGGGGAAGCAGGGAAAATCAGCTTTCATGATTGTTTCCAAATCTTCTTTGGTTCAAATGATTCTTTTTACACTTCCACCTGCGCTCAGTGTCTCATGCCTGTCATCGCTACGCCTCTGGGAGGCCAAGTCTGGGAAAGATCACTAGAGGTCACGAGAGTTTGATACCCAACCTGAGCAAGAATGAACCCCGAGTCTCCTCACTACAAAACCAGAAAATTTGCAGGCATTGCTCATCGTGCCTGTAGTCCCCAGCTACGGGAGCTGAGGCATGGACGAATCCCTTGAGCCCAGGAGTTTTGAGGTGCTGTGAAGCTATGATCGACCCACTGCATTCTAACCTAGGATTGACAGAGTGAACACCTGCTTTCAAAAAAGAAAAAGAAAAAAAATTTTTCATTCCATAGTCATACCACACATGTTCGCAAATGCTTGTACAACTCAATCAATCAAAGTAGTTTAAAAGCTTAATGGTGGCCCGGGCGCGGTGGCTCACTCCTTCCCATCCTAGCACTCCTGGGAGCGCCCAGGCGGAGACTGCTCGAGGTCAGAAGTTCGAAACCAGCCTGGACAAGAGCCGAGCCTCCGTCTTCTTCGCGCAATTTGCATTATAAAAAGAAAAAAATACCCGGGCATGGTGGTGCAACTGCCTGGTACATCCACGCCACCTCGGGAGCCACTGAAGCAGGCGTTCGCTTGAGCCCAGGAGTTGAGTTGCCTTGAGCAGGCTGTACGCCGCGGCACATCACCTACAGCCCGGCAACAGCAGTAGCCTCTGTCTCCAAAATACAAAAAAAACCTTTGCTCAACGCACTCAAGACCTCTGTTAGCACCAGGAACTGACGGATGAAGACAGCTGCCCACTGCCTTACAGCAAAGCCAATCACTTGTATCAAATTAAATCCGAATGAAGTTTAAGGACCCACTTTGACAACGTCTCAGTCTTCCTCTGACCGTTCAATTAACGTTGTTAACAGTGCTCTGCGATTCTTAGAAATCATTTTCATTCTTTCCATCTCATTCCTGGAGAGTTGAGTACTCAGGAGCTCATTAGGAAAAATGAGCTCGGGTCATGGGTTTTGAAAACAGTCACAAAGAGGAGAGGGTGCAGGAGCCAGGCCTGCAGAGTCTGATCTTTCCGGATGACATAGTAGATGAGACCCGTAGGGCAAGGGCAGCCGTCGGCAGCTTGCGGGAGGCAGACAAGTGGCAGTCCTCCTGCATCCGAACTTGAGCTTGAAACCACTCCGAGGAGCCACTTTTTCTGCTGGAGGGTAGGTGTGGCTCCGTGCCCGTTACTTGTCCCTGGCCCTCTGCACCTTCTGTGCAAACCCAAGTGGAGGAGCAATGGCGGTTGGCGCTGCCAGCGTGTATAGGTCCGTAGGGCACGTCCCTTGTGGACTGCCACCTGGCTGCGACAACCTGGCTCCAGGGACCAGAGTGACGGACATCCAGAGCCCCGGGTTCTGACCTGGCTGTCGGGACCACCCAGGTCTGAGATGTCCAGCCAGTGACTTCACTTCCCCTCTCTCTCTCCCCTTAAATGTCGTCGCTGATGAAATAGAGATCTGTCACTGTCGAGTCCGCGACAGCTAGGAGCAGCTCCTCTATGCTACGTGGTCACAGTGGCGTGGGAGGTGAGACGGAACTACTAAAGATTTCATGGAGAAAGCAGGTTCCTCAGTTAAAAAAACAGTTTGCAGACACCAGCCTAGGTGACCTTCGAACCCCCTTTGAGCTCTGAATTCGGTGATTCAGGCAGATTCGGGGACAAAAAAAACCTCCTGAAGCCACCAACGAGGCCTTGACCTCTTCCCGGTCAGGAATCAATCGGATCTCTTAACTCCCCTTGACCGACAGCATCGTCAGGTGGCAGAGGGACTGATAGATAATTCCCCAAGCCTGACAAGCAGGGTCTTCAAGGAGGAAATTTTCAGAACGATCTTGAGAGAGTCGAAGAGTTGAGCAGTTTTGTTCTGTTTTTGTGTCTCAAAAAGCAAATGAGGAAACTGCAGTTCGTTCTGCGAAGACCAGTCATTCATTCCCGTTCATGTAATGAACACCAGCTGACAGCCCTGTGTGCAGAGATCTGTGTGCAGAACCACAGAGCCAGCTGGAAATTACGCCCTAAAAGGTTGTAGGATCCAACATGGGGTATAAGAAATAGGTCCAAAGAGCAGTAACAGAAGGTTGAGTTGTCGTGAGAAATATGGAGAAAACTGTATAGGAAGTGGGATATTTGGAAGGGAGCAAGGGAAAAGAGAAAGAGGAATCAGGGTAAGAAGCTTAATTGGAAGGGATTATTTATTTCATGCAGGCCTTGAAGGAAAATTTGGGTTTAGGCCCAGCATGAAAAACATTCCAGGCAGAGAAACTGGCACGGAGGCGGGAGAGTAGAAAACATGCGAGAGGAACAATGAATAGTTTGGTTTGGCAGAAGCCAAAGTTTGGCGAGGAAGAAGGAGTGGTTGGAAATGTCCACCGGGTGGGTGTCTTAAATAAATACTGTCTTTTCTCCATTTCAGCCTTCCCAAGGTTGTACCACCTGATTCCAGACGGCGAAATTACCAGCATCAGAATCCGAAGGGTGGATCCCAATGAAAGTCTCTCCATTAGGCTCGTGGGAGGCAGTGAGACCCCGCTGGTCCATATCATCATCCAACACATTTACCGAGACGGGGCGGTAGCCAGAGACGGCCGGCTCCTGCCCGGAGACGTCATCCTGAAGGTAGACGCCACGGCCGTGTGGCTGGGGCGAGGAACTTGATATAAAACCCTTTGGAGCAAATAACCAAATGCATGGAGGAAGGAATGAATGAGGGAAAATAGGGAAATAAATATGGGCAGTCACTTCCCATAGTTATGTCGTTAGACTTCATATGAGATCTGTGATTTAATTGAGATAGATCTTTGTCTCTTTCTTGCTCTTTCCCTCCTCTCTTCTCCTTTCTCTCTGTCATAAATCTTTGTCTCCTCCTCTCCTCTTCCTTCTAGCTTTTTTCATCCTCTTCCCCCTCTTCTTTCTTCATTGCTTCTTTTTTTTTTCCTTTTTCTCCTCCTCTTCTCTCTCCTCTAAGCAGCACGAAAATAAAAGTGGAGCCTGTATTTTCTTGTTTTTAGAGCAGATTGATGGAACATTTTCTATTTTATCTAATTACATTCACATACCTTTCTCTTTTTTTTTAATATTTTTAATTTTTTTCTTTAGCCCAACTTTTAGAAGCAAATCTTTCACATACCTTTCTAAGGCAAATTTCCTTGGAGAAATTAGAAACGGCCCTCCAAGAAAATAAAAATCATTCCTAAGCTATTTCCAGAGACATTTCAGGGCAGACAGGTGGTGGAGCAGAATGCTCTGGGCGTTGCTGTTCTCTGAGGCTTGGTCGAAGGGGAAGAACTTTTTTGAGGAGGAATTTTCAGAACAAAAAAAGGATGTAAAGGAAGAGTTGTTTGTCAGACAGAAGTGAACCGTGCGCCAAAAGTGACAAGAGATCCCTCCCTGCTCGTATATTTCCTAGCTAATGCTCAGAGAACAGTTTCATCCCTTCCCCTCTCTAGGCTGCCTGGGGACCAGCCCCGGTCACATCCCGAGCTGTTTCTTTGGCAAACTGATGGGAATAAGAGGAGCGATCATTTAAAGCAGTTTTTGCAGAAATGCCAAAATTCCCGCCGGTCTCGGAGGCGGAGGCGGGGCCCTCGGGGACAGTCAGGGTGTGATCAGGGACACTGCTGCTGTGCACGTGGTCCAGCTCCGGTGGAAACTGCCGCCTGGGAGGTTGCACGATAGAACATTCTGGTTCTTGTGGCCTCTTGCTGGCACTCCCAGGCGCAAGGGCTGCCGGGAGTGTTTAGCCAGCGACCCTCGGCTTCCCTCCTCCTGGGTGTGATGGGGGGACCAGGCCCTGCCACCTTACCTTGGGTGCTCTGCCCACCAGAGGTCGGCCAAGAGTGTTGAGCTTTGTCTTTGCACAAGGACCCTCCACCCCTCCCTGGGCGTGCGACAGAGAGCAGGCGATCGGACGCTGGAGGGAGGACTTTGTTGGGTGCATTCCAAGCCGCCTTTAACCATTGGCTGCAAATACAAGAAATCTTATGAAATTGCAGAAATTCAAGAAGGTCGTTTCTCCTCCTCAGGGCTTCCCTCCTGGAGCACAGAGCGCAGTGCTTGCCGTGCAATCGTTTTCTTCCAGGTTGGGGACGAACTTGGGGGCTGCCACCTCCAGGCCGGGTAGTAATCACCACGGTAATTAAAACCAGAAAGCCCAGCCCGGCGTCAGACCTGCGGATCGTTAGTGAGCACCGAGGAGACGGGCTGAGCTTAAGGGTCTCTAAGTAGCATCATAAAATGATTCAGCCTTTCAGTAAAAGAGTCTGGAAACTTCCTTTCACATCGGTGTGTTTGAAAATGTGCAAGGATTTTTTAAATCTTATTTTATTGAGAACATGGGCAAAAGGCCTTGAAGGTGATGACCTCGAGAAGTGACACATTGTCACTCACTTCACACACACAAACACGCTCAGACATGATCATGCATGCACATGTTTATCACACGCTCAGACATGATCATGCATGCACATGTTTATCACACGCTCAGACATGATCATGCATGCACATGTTTATCTCACGCTCAGACATGATCATGCTTGCACATGTTTATCTCATACACACACACGCACAGTGGTGAGGATTACAAGTTCTGACAGGGGCGGCCCAGGAAGAAAAGCTTTGCTGGAGATTTTTGGAAAGAAAATTGT